TGAGGAGAGACGCGGTGGGGAGGGGTGAGAAGGGTGCGCGACGATGCCTATTTGAGGACCGGGAGGGAGACGCGAGATTACCGGGAGATCATCACTCGTTTGCGGGCATCTGGAGACTTGCGAAACTTCCCGCCATTCTCATAATTCTCTCTTCATATAGCCGTAAGCCTTATACATATCCATAAAACACTGTGATAAAACCATGCTCAGATCGGATCGCTTTCTCACTGCAGTCGAACCGCTCCAGGGTTGTTTCAGTCGAGCCGAGACCACCTCATTCAGGCGATCGCGGAGCGATTACTTTGGCGCGGAACAGATCGCGATTGCCCTATTCACATATGCCAAACGAACCGCGCTAACTGGGCAAACGAGATACGTTCCAAAACAAAAGTGTAGGTGTGAAAACACCCTCAGACAATGAAGTCGCAAATGATATGTTAACGATTCATGTTACTTACACAGGCATATTTCGGATATGCGTGAAAGACGTCGTGTAACGCATTGAGTTAAAAAAAAAAAATACAGCAATGCTCTCTCCCAACTGGAGTGTAGCAGCAAAAACAAAAAAATCCAGGCTCACACAGGTATCATCCCACATCTTGTGCTTTATTCTGTCACCAGCGTCACCACAGAAAATAACTTAATCCGAGCATGAGAGAAAAATAAAAATAAACATCACTCCTGCGCACATGCACTTCTGTTACAGATACATATATTACAGTTCATACACACGCACACACATAACACACACACACACAATGGTACACAAACACTCCTTAAAAGAGCCGCATCCAATTTTCACTCGTTACAGACACTTGTTGACTGACTGACTGACTGTTTACACAAAACACGTGTGCTTGTCCGGGCGTGACGTGGAGCAGATCCGCGTATCACAGCCATAGACTGTAAAATATATGGACGTAGTGTCAGTGACGTCACCCATAGGTTTCTAAAAAGCGCAAAAGAAGCCACAATTAGATGCGGCCAACCGTCACCATTTTGTTCGCGTGTCATCACACCCACCCCGGGATACCAAACAAGAGCAAAGAGGCGGACAGTGAGCGGAGCTACAGACACGTGCTGGCATTTTGCTTGGACCTGGTTCAGACACACTTTACCTTGGGAGAACGCTTAATACTTTTATCACCTGTGACTCGTTTGTATTCTGACCTCTTGTGCTTGGTTGTAAACTATATCAATAAAGTGTTTAGACTTTTAAAAACACTGCTGTAATACATTGAGCCACAAAACATTGTTCTTAGGATGTTTTTCAACAGGAGGAAAACGCGAATTACTTCCAAACACTTCAGATATAGAACGTGTTAGTTAATGTAAGACTATTGATGAAATCCAGCATAACACTGTTTGACAACGCTTCAGATGACTGTTCTAGAGCCTACAGCTAATCAATTCGTCAGATTCTGGAGTGCATTACAGCTCTAAATATAAATATAAACGATAAATGATCTTAAATAAAACAAATACATGTATAGAGATGGAATATAAGTATATAACTTTACTCACATGGGAAACGGAGACCACATGAATGGTTTGTGAGCACAATTAAGTGCACTTAGCATGCCATGCCGTCTAATAATTGTAGGAAACAAGTCCAAAAGGCAGTTGACTGTGTAAAGCCACATAAAACAACACAGAAATATGATAAATATGCCGAGTTCAGTGGCTAATCTGCAGGATTCAGCTGAGGTGACGTGACGGCGACCAACGAGACCTAGCTGTCACTCAAGTGGCCACTCCCTTAATTATGCAAACTTAATATAACTTAATATAAAGGAAATGGGTGAGTTATAAAAAAATTCACCCCCCTCACAGTTGTCATGAAGGGTAATATTAGCTGTATTAACCAAAATCTTTTTTTGTACCAGGCTGTAAACACCTTTTTTTCTGCTGTAAAGTTGACCATTCTAACAGTGGGCTCAATTGAAATTTGCTCTATTTTGGAGCCAGGAGCGGCCAGGACTAGCGGAATTTCGGATGAATTGCAGTTTTAGTTACTTCCGTATTGGCTTCCTGAGGGAGAGCGGGAGGTTGCCGCTTGATCACAGCACATTATGACGATGACCAATCAAAGTCACTTGAGGGCGGGCCTTTCAGAGGAACTAGGAAATATGACAGTCGTTTTCATGTTAGCTGAGTAGCTGTGTATAATCTAAGTGAAATTTATGAAAAAATATCATAATTTCCTTCAAGTGAAACATGAGCCCACATTGCTTTGCATCTTATTAACACAACCAAGCCTTTAAATTGCACACTGAACCACCCCTTTAATCATACCATGTGCTCCTCTTGAAATTAGCTTATAAAGCTTCACTTCGTTTGCTGAAACACAGAGGAAGTTTTGGCAAAATTAAGCCTCAAAATCACCCCGGAATGGATGTAAATGACTCAAACGGACCATAAGGGGAAAGATGAACATTCCAGCTTTTATGTAGATGTTGTACAGGTATCTCATTTCTGCAAGGCAAATATTCAGCTGTTACCCCAGAACTTTTTTTTCCTGATGTGTTTACCTGTCAGACACTGAATGAACAAATATTCCCTGTGTGCTTTACAAATTTTAGAAAAACATTCTGTTGTAATTATGAATATATACGGATAAAAACAGGCCATTTACAGCTTTTAAATCTATGTCTTATCAATATGACTAAAATGACTTATGGTCAATTACGTAAGAAACGCTGAAAACCGAACTGACACAGTTTCAATTTACTATAACTTCTATGTTAAGCGGCTTTGGCACAATTTACATTGTAAAATCACTAGATAAATTCACCTCTTTTTCTCAGCTCTCTGAGTCTGAGGTGTCCAAACTTGTGCTATCTAGCCATGCAACCACCTGTCCACTCGATCCTATTCCCTCTCATCTCTTGCAAGCCATCTCTCCTGCAGTCATACCAACACTGACTCACATAATTAACACATCTCTTGACTCTGGTTTATTCCCCACTACATTTAAGCAGGCTAGGGTAACCCCACTGCTAAAGAAACCCAATCTGGACCATACGCTACTTGAAAACTACAGACCAGTATCCCTGCTTCCATTCATGGCCAAGATTCTGGAGAAAGTAGTGTTCAATCAAGTTCTGGACTTTCTTACTCAAAACAATCTCATGGACAACAAGCAATCCGGCTTTAAGAAAGGCCACTCAACTGAGACTGCCCTGCTCTCGGTCGTGGAGGATCTCAGACTGGCTAAAGCAGACTCTAAATCATCAGTCCTCATTTTGCTGGACTTGTCAGCTGCTTTTGACACTGTCAACCACCAGATCCTGCTATCTACGCTTAAGTCACTGGGCGTTGCGGGCACTGTTATACAATGGTTCAGATCTTACCTCTCTGACAGGTCATTCAGGGTGTCTTGGAGGGGAGAGGTGTCCAACCTACAGCATCTAAACACTGGGGTACCTCAAGGCTCTGTTCTTGGGCCACTTCTCTTCTCCATCTACACATCATCTCTAGGACCAGTCATCCAGAGACATGGATTCTCCTACCACTGCTATGCTGATGATACCCAGCTATACCTCTCTTTTCATCCTGATGATCCCTCGGTTCCAGCTCGTATCTCAGCCTGCCTGTTGGATATTTCACACTGGATGAAAGATCATCATCTTCAGCTGAACCTCGCAAAAACGGAAATGCTTGTAGTTTCTGCCAACCCGACTCTACACCATAACTTTTCAATCCAGATGGATGGGGCAACCATTACTGCATCCAAAATGGTGAAAAGCCTTGGAGTAACGATTGATGACCAACTAAACTTCTCTGACCACATTTCTAGAACTGCTCGATCGTGCAGATTTGCACTCTATAACATCAGAAAGATCCGACCCTTCTTATCTGAACATGCAGCTCAACTCCTTGTTCAAGCTCTTGTTCTCTCCAAACTGGATTACTGCAACTCTCTACTAGCTGGGCTTCCAGCTAACTCTATCAAGCCTCTTCAACTGCTCCAGAATGCAGCAGCACGAGTTGTCTTCAATGAACCTAAACGAGCACATGTCACTCCGCTGCTAGTCCGTTTGCACTGGCTGCCAGTTGCTGCTCGCATCAAATTCAAAACTCTGATGTTTGCCTACAAAGTGACTTCTGGCCTAGCACCTTCTTATCTGCACTCACTTCTGCAGATCTATGTGCCCTCCAGAAACTTGCGTTCTGTGAATGAACGTCGCCTCGTGGTTCCATCCCAAAGAGGGAAAAAATCACTTTCGCGAACGCTCACGCTCAATCTGCCCAGTTGGTGGAATGAACTCCCTAACTGCATCAGAACAGCAGAGTCACTCGCTATTTTCAAGAAACGACTAAAAACTCAACTATTTAGTCTCCACTTTACTTCCTAATCTGCAATTGCCTCTTTGAATATCACACTAACTGTACAAAAAAAAAAAAAAAAAATACTAATACTACTAATACTTCCCTTCTTAGACTTTACAGACCTGAAACTTGCCTTTAGTACTTATTCATTGTTGCTCTTAGTTGTGTAAATTGCTTCCTTGTCCTCATTTGTAAGTCACTTTGGATAAAAGCGTCTGCTAAATGACTAAATGTAAATGTAAATAAATGAATCTGCTTAAGTGTGTACACGTTAATGGACCAAAGTAAATATGATCTGATTTATTTTACATTAAATGTGCATCAAAATTACAGTGTGTGTAGCCAATGTTTCCAGTGTCTTTTCACTTTTGATGAGAGTTTTTAAGACTTAATGAAAACTGATGTTTTTTTTTTCAGACCTAATTGAAGAGAATGAGGGAAGTAAAGAGGAGGAACATCATGTCAAAATTGAGGAAAAAAACAATTTACAGACTGATGGTATTTTAAAAAGGAGAGACAAGAATCGTTTCACCTGCACTCAGTGTGGGAAGAGTTTCAGCCAATCATCACACCTTAAACAACACATGAGGATCCACACTGGAGAGAAACTATTCACATGCACTCAGTGTGGGAAGAGTTTTATCCAATCGTCATCCCTTATTCACCACATGAGGTTCCACACTGGAGAGAAACCATTCACATGCCCTCAGTGTGGGAAGAGTTTTTATTGCTCATCACACCTTAATCAACACATGAGGATCCACACTGGAGAGAAACCATTCACATGCCCTCAGTGTGGGAAAAGTTTCAGCCAATCATCACACCTTAATCCACACATGATGATCCACACTGGAGAGAAACCATTCACATGCACTGAGTGTGGAAAGAGTTTCAGCCGATCATCATCCCTTAATAAACACATGAGGATCCACACTGGAGAGAAACCATTCACTTGCACTCAGTGTGGGAAGAGTTTCAGCCAATCATCATCCCTTAATCTACACATGATGAGCCACACTAGAGTAAAAACCATTCACCTGCACTTAAACTGCAGTCACACTGGACTTTTCTCCCCATAGACTTCCATTCATACGCACGCAAATGTGTCAGACCGGAAAATCAAGTTCGTGCGTCAAGTTTTGCAGTTCACTGCTTTGCAAAGTTCAAGCTTGGTGAACTCTGACCTGCAAAATCGTATCACTTAACTGTGTGAGACCAATCGTAGATCAAAACATGACCTCTCTTGACAGAAGTTTAAAATATTGACCAATCACTCACTTTTTAATGTCTAATCATTTTGTTTAGTCCTGCCCCTTTTTGCAGCGCTGTACAACAGAATTTTGCATGCTCAAACTCTAGTGTGACCACAGCTACAATGTGGGATGAGTTTCAGCAACTACTCATACCTTAATAAACACATAAAGACCTACACTGGAGAGAAACCATTTACCAGAAATGGGGGACTCGAGTCAGATGACTTGACTTGAGTCAGACTTAAGTCACAAAATTTAGGACTTGAGACTTACTTGATAAATATCCAATAAAGACTCGACTTGACTTGGACTTGGCTGTCATGACTCGAGACTTGACTTTGACTTGAGTTAAATGACAAGTTAAAGTTAAATGTTTTTGTTAAATACACAACCGTTTGTTATATATTATGCGTTTAAAAACAAAGCAAAACCGAAAGTTCTAAGTCACACATGCGCAGTATTAACTGGATCTGGACTGAATCGTTTGGTTCAGAAGAACCGCTTTAAATTATTCATTTGATCGATTCATTTGCTATTCAGCCATCAGATACGATGAAAAATGGAAGGCGCTTCACCAAAGATAAAAGCCTATTTTACGGGTTTAAAGATTACAAACAAAACGGCTAATCAAAGTTTATACTATTTAGTCTGACTCAGTGCTTGCCACACTTCGGCCTTGCCTATTTTGTCATGTGCGCGCCGTGCCAGTGCTCTGAGCCGTGCATCCGATGTGTGACGCGCTTAAGAAGCATAAAGGGGTGCATTAAAGACACATGAGTAAGCGTTGTGTCACAGTCACACCATCTCTAAATGTTTAATTCTAAACAGCTTTGAGGAGTACGGATGTCAGTTGTTTGTTATTGTAGCTTAGAAGGCAAAGCGAGCACTGCGGCGCATGCAGTGAGCGGCTCACTTCATCAACACTCATGATCGCATTCATCTAATTTGCTTAAACTAAGTATTCTACAGTATGGCTATATTTTACAAGCAAGGATTCTGACACACCAACATGCAGCAGATGTTACAAAAGTTGCGTGTAAGGGAGAAACACATCAAACTTATCAAATGTGTAGGCTCATTGAATAACCTCAAAGGTGAGGAATGGACTGTCTTTGACAGCTTGTGACATCATCTGGCACATTATCTGAGTACGTTTACATGGACACTAATATTCTGATTTTATTATGATTAAGACACAACTCTGATCAAGAGTCTACCATGTAAACAGTGATTTTTTAACATCTTAAAGGACCGCAGACACAAACTGCGGAGGAAACATTTATAGGCTGGTGACACAATGACGTTGATGGATGTATGTGCTATAACATGTAACTGGGAATCATGAATGTAACATTCAAAAAGCAATTCATGTAAACACCTGAATCATATTATTGTCTTATTCAGAATAAGGCAAATCTTTAGATCATTGATGTCCATGTAAAAGTAGTCAGAAGTCCCAAACCCAGAAAAAAATGTGCTTCTGATTTTGATTACAGCCTTTCCACAGTTTAGTAGTAAGCTAATGTAATGTTTACAGCATAATGCAAATCTTGCATTTATGCTAATAAACAAATTATCAAAAGAAATATATTAATGCAATTCAAATATATAAAATATGAATTGATGTTTACTTTAAACTTATTATAAATGTATATTTATATTGTTCAATTATAATGATACTGAAGGTATCGGTTCAGGCACCGTTTTGACGTAAAAAGTATCGATTTAGCACCGGTCTCGAAAAAAACCCAAGCGATACCCAACCCTACTCGTTACTTGTTTAAACTGGCTGCTAATATACCTACACTGTTAGTAATTAAAGCATTAGCCTTCTTTAAATAATCTACACGTTTAAATCTTGTAAATATGATTATTTATGAATATTTTTAGAGATATTCTGTTTTTATTCCTTTTTCTGTCATTTATTTCTCATTTGCTGTATATTTTATTAATTTGATGATGTCATCAGGCTAATGCATAGGCTATTTTATAGACATATCTAAAATGCTTTTGCATTCAAGTTTGCTTTGAACTGGAAAGAGAGAGAGAAGTAGATTTGACTTGTCAGCGGTGCACATATGGCTCTTGAATAGGTAAGAGAAAGTGGATGTATTTTTAAAGTTTTTTTTTTACTTTAACCAATTGAAAGTAAACAGTGTATAACATTGTCATAAATAATAAATAAAATTATTGTAAAAAATGTAATATTTTTATTTGTCGCATATAGGTAACCAATTATGTGATTTGGGTAAAGGGTGTGTTTCAATCCGGCTACCACCGCAAGTATATTTCAAACCTGTGAGAAGCCCTGATAGTATTGTATTTGTATGCTAATGTTTAAGGTTAAAAGTTTTTGACATGTTAGGGTTAAGTTTAATTAAAAAAACAAGAAACCATTTCAGACCATGGATCTTAAAAATCTGTAATGTGTGTGAAATAGGCTACATGTATTATCTAAAATATAAAGGTTCAAAATTAAATAGTGTATTGTGGTAAATATTGTATAATGAGAGCAACTGTGCTCTGGATAATTGACTCTCTGATGGTTAAGTCACTGGTCAAATCAGTAATTGGTTTTGACCTATTAAGTTTAAATAATGTTGTATCACAAAAGAAGCACTGTATTAAAAAAATGGAGCTCACCAATACTTTTATCAGATCATTAAACACATTGAACATCTAAAACACACAGACATAAAGAATCAGAGTATGCTTCTCAACTATGGTGAGGTTTTTTTTCCTACAGTGCATGCTGGGAACTATGGATGAATGTCGTATGATTCTCTTACCATGCACTGCAGCCAAAATAAAAAAAATAAAAAAATCTCTAACCACTGCTGAGAAAGAAATGCTGATTATTAATGTCTGTAACTCTAAAGTGATTCAGATTCTCAATGTGTTTTAATATCACCACAGCTGAGAACCATTCTCTTGATAAACACTGAATTTAGTTTTTTATATGATAATCCATCATCTAAGCATAATTTCTTGTACAGTAATTCTTATCAAGAGTAAGAATTCACACAGGATCAATCATCTTGATCACATGTGCTCTCTTTATACTTGTCATTGCAAGTAAAGAAAAATTAACCCCTTTTCTCCATGATGGTGACATCAGGCGAAAAAAAAAATATATATATATTTTTTTTTTTTTTCGTAAATGTAAATAACTAAAATGGTTATTTCTCAATAAATCTCATATGCCACTGTTAGAAATTGTCCCGTTAAAAATGGTAAAATACTGGCAGTTGCCAGCAATGTACTGTTAATTTACAGTATGTTGCTGTAAAAATACTTGGACTACATTGATATACACAATACTCAAGGGAACTCATTTTGTTCACTGAAAGCAACTGCGTCAAATTGTCCAACTGCTGTATGAGTTTATGAAGTAAAGTGCTATAGTCTAGAAGCATGCTTATAATGATTACTTATTTTAGTTAATTAGAAAAGTTCAGTTTACCTTAAATGTCTTTAATTTCACATCAGCACACATACATGTAAAGCTGGAATTAACACAGGGAGATTCTGACTGCATCAGCAACTAAACAGCTGCTGTCTTTAAATAAAGAAACATGCAGAATAACATCAGCAGCTTAATGTTCATCTTTAACTCATACACTGGCTCTACTCTCCTCCACAACGGTGACACACCGAAGAGATTAGCTTTAGGTTTTACAGTAAAATACTGTTTTTTTCCCTTTATTTAACGGTAAACTACTGGCAGCTGTGGTTGCCAGCAATCTACTGTTTTTTTACAGTCTTTTTCCGTAGTTTAAATTAACAGTATATTACTGTTAAAATACATTTTTACACTGTTTTTAACTCTCACACCTTTAACCCTTTAAACCCCAGAGCAAATACTTCAGTTTTAGTTGAAGTGTCCACACTACTGAGTGTTCAAGAAACATGTAGCAATGATGTAGTAAATTAGTTAATTAAATAACTAATTAAATGATGATTGAAGATTAGCATTGAAGAAATGAAAAATTACTGAAGGGAGAAAACAAGAACAGAACATACAAAACTTTAGTCACAGCTTTATAATGAAATAACCTGAAGAACAACAAATGATTAAATCATTGAAATGATCAGCGAATGATTAAACAACTCTACAAACATCATCACCAGCTACACTTATTACTGAAACTTTTATTTTTGTATAACATCTACTAAAGTTCTTCTTGAGAGAAAGGTTAACATTTTATGTCATCACCATGGAGAACAGAGTTTGCTTTAGTTGGGCTCTTAGCCCTGTCATTTTTATCATTCATATATTTTGGCTGCTGCAATTGTTAAGAACTTTGTTTAAAAAGCTCTTTTGATGTGGCAAGCCAGACAAAAAACTAAATAAGATCTGGTGATGTTTATGTTGCTATTAAATGGCAGAGTCTGTTCTAATTTAATATAACATAATTTACTGCTCCTATTCAATGTTTAATCTATTGTTTCACATTATATGTGGCAATGATTTCTAGAAGTTTTTAAGAATATCTTGGACTAAAATACTGCTCTATGGTGTATTTAGCACTCAAACAGACATCAATAATCAGTGTATGAACCTCAATAATTGTGACAACTAACAAAATTAACAGTTTAAATCACAAACAGGCAACTAAAAGTCTAAACATAAACAAAAGCAGAATAAAACGCAAATAAAGAAAACTGTTAGACCATTATACTACATTCATTCACACCGCAATGCATGCTGGGATATTTGTACTGTGCCACAACCAGCATGCATTGCAGCATGAAACATTTTAATTGTTACCATTGTTGAGGTACAAGGTCTGAGTGTGTCTTTGTCATAACTGAACTGTTTTTGTATGTTATGTCTTAACAATAGGGATGTAACGGTATTGTAAATACCGTCATACCGCAATATTAATTTTTTTCGATATTACCGAAGTCGCATGACTCGGTAAAACTATAGGTCTTCTGAGAAAATTTGCTCAGGCGAATGAAGCGAACGGGAGGCACCAGACGCGCACATTCGAATGATATTTAACATGAAACTAATCAGATGGCGCTTTGTGGTGCGGCTGAAACATTAACTGCGTCCTGAGCCGTCGCCGGGCGCCGCCGACTTGCGGCGCCGGTGTATTATCCTGATAGAAACCTATGATTAGAATTCTAAAATACATGGCGCTGCGTGGCGCTGCGCGGCGCGCCGCCGAGCGTCGCTTCTGGTGTGCGACCTGCTTTACACGCACAGTTCAGTCCTGCATTATCTCCGTGTAAGTTCAGAATTCGCAAGTTTGATCAAGGCTGCAGTCTCTTCTTCTCAGTTTGATATGGAAAAGCAGACTATACCGAGGACACGGGTAAATCTTCAAAGGGAACAGTGTACTTTATAACTTCATTCACATCACCCTGGCTTCGTTGTTTCACTTTCTCAACAATAAAATGTAAACATTATTTAAGGAACTGCCTATTTTCATTTTAATATTAGCAACTAAACAGACAGCAGAAATGTTGAGGCGCCGTGCTGCATAAGATGAGCATCATCTTCACTGTGTGGACATTTATAACAAAACGGAGCCGATAACAACTGCCTCCTTTCAATTTCAGTGAAAATACGAAACACAGCCTCTCTTTTGCTGAATATCAGTTTTAAGAATCGATAATGGCCATTTTAAAAGTATAACATACAATACGTTTATACATTATAGGAAATAAAGGCGATCAGTCAATATACAGAATGTACGTGGTTACATTAATCATTAACTTATCTTTGCGCTCAGCCAAAACACGTTACCTGAGAACAAGTAATAGATTCCAATGCCCAAAGTCAGGGAATATGTCGTTAGATAAAGACAACAAGATAAATGAAATATCCCGTTTAATAAATATAGTGAGATTAGATCCAGCGGGAGATGCTTGATGAGAAGTCCGACTAGCAGAGCTCTCATCTGGGTAGATGGGCTGAGTGTGATTAAATGTTAAATGTGATGAGTTTTCAACAATACTAAATTGAAACTTTATTTTTTTACATGGTTTAATAATTTTTTGTTATTAAAATTGAAGTTCCTGTTTCAAAGAGATAGATGGCTAATTTGTATGTCATTGACACTTTTGGCACTTTTTTGGAGTATTTTCATAAGTTTGTTTTTTCCTGTAAATGATTCAATAAATACCGTACCGTGACATTCATACCGAGGTATTACCGTAACGTGAAATTCTGATACCGTTACATCCCTACTTAACAATAATGTAATTATATAGGTATCTTTACTGTTTCCACTTAATAATTAAATAAATTACTTTAAATTTACAACTAAGCATAAACTATTGCATGAGGTCCTTTTTCCAGACCTAACCAAAACATATATCAGATCAAATTTCAGACAAATAGATTAATCTATCTATTGACTTTCCCACTTTATTGCTATAATAAAAGTGTTTTGCAAACTCTTTATTACAGCATTTGGGAAGTCAAATTTAAGGAGTTCAAGGGTAAAGAGCCCAACCAAACCAGCCCCTCACTCCATTACGGTGACACAAAAAAACATCTACATTTCTGTTGGATCTCATTGAGAGTAGTATGGAAGTCCAAGCAGTCAGTAATACATGTGTTTGCTGTTATTTGTGGAGTTGTTTAATGATCC